AAACGTATATGTAAAAAAATAAAAAATACAATTTCTGAGTTTTTATATTTATAATTTTCAAAATATTCAACATTTCGAAAGTCCGAAATCAGTTTGGTAGCCCTGTAGAGTCCACCCATGCAAAAAAAAGGATCTAGCTTAACCCTCAAGGCGGTGGGGGGGGGGGGCATTTTTTGCATCCATCTTTAGTTTTTTTTTTCGATATATCTCCAGAACCGCTGCGCCGATCTTCACCAAACTTTCAGTACCCTTTTGCACATTGTGACCAAATTTTTTTTTTCCAAAGGCTATGATAAGTTGGCCGCTACGTCGGAGTGACGTCATTTCTGCCATTGTCGACCAAAAAAAAAAGCTTCGCGGGAAGAGCTGTCAGGTCTATAAATTTGATTATGCATAAAAATGTTCAAGACATGAAATGTGTAGAATTACCAGGGCTACGTTCTCTCGATTTTGTTTTTGAAGTTGACCCCAAAAATAAAAAGAAATAGATATAATAGCCAAAAAATCCCAAAAGTTTTTCGATTTTCGAAACAAACGGAATATATGTAATAGCCACTATGGACTTCTATTCACATTCCAAGTATTAGATCGATAACTCCTTTTTGCCAAGTTATAACAAAAAAAAACTGTTCAAAATTAATGACGTCAAATTTTCAAACTCGATTTTGGCAATTCTAGACCACAAAGCGCAAAACAAAGACCACCATTAGACTCGCCGTGACGAGTGGCATCGAATCAATACCAATTTTATGCGAAACTATCAACTTTGACCTGAAATTTGACCTTTTTGACCTGACATTGACCTGACCTCCACCAGAAAGTGACCAAAAAACCGTCCCTGATGGTCTTATAACCAACACCATTGAGGCGAATATGAAAAATTGGCCATAAAACATGCATCGCACAACCCTACTTAGTAAAGATAGGTTCATGTGCTGACCCTTGGTGATCGGACCTGGTATTATCAGTGACCTCCAATAGCAACATATGCTCGTATAATAGGCAACTCACGCCCTATCGCTGATTTTTGACAAAATGCCCTTTACTCGATGTTGCAGCGCATTCCTTAAAAGACCCGTGAACGGTGAAACATTTTATCTTTGACTTGGCCTGTGATGTCATCGGTGACCCCGAGGTCAATGAAATTGAAGTTCCCTCGACAAATTTAACAAGGCTATCGAACGCCATTTAAATTTTACCGATCCGTCATAGTAGCTTCGGAGATTCGGGGGGGGGGCAAAAATCCCCCCCTCCCACCGCGCGGAAGGTAGCCGGGAGGCCCACCGCTTGCCGGGTTAAAACTCAGATCTTGAGAGCGATTACCGTTGTTCAATGCTTTGCATCAAAATCGGCCGAACATGATGTCACTCTGGCGTCATTTCCGGCCGATCTATAGTAGCTACGAAAATTTTATTAGTGCACAAGGTGTCAAATAAATTGATGCAGCCGAAGGTCCTAAAAGCTTTGTTTTGATACGTCCAGCGGTTTTAAAGATATTGCGTAAACACGAGAGGGGCTATGAATAGCCCTCCCCACAGTAGGGTGGGGGTTAACCCTCGCCCGTATTGGTGTTTTTCAGCCACGAACGTTTAAGGGGGGTCCGTTGAACCCCCTCCTTGCCGTTTCGCCCCTGATTGAGCTAGAGCTTCGCGGAAAAAAACGAGCGTGCTGCCCGTGACGAGAGAAAGCCGATGGTACCCAATTTTATCCTAGGTCGTCGGTCCTAGGTCATCGGTTGACCTTCCAGGTCAGGTCAATGACCCAAAAGTGGGGAAAACTGGGACCTGTTAGAACGTCGTAAAACGTGGCTGCTATTGGTTTTTTTAGGGAACTGATCACGAATATCATGTTAGCTATGATCATAGATGATGTCTTCATGCATTTAGGCCAGGTCGGGTCAGGTTAGGTCAGGTCAACCAGTAAGGGTTTTGCCGGGTATTCGTAGTAGGTGCACTAGGTGGCAACCGCCTCTGACAGCTTCGTAACATGTTACGAAGGCACCAAAACTACTTCGTAAATGTTCATATATGGTTGTTAAATTCGAAATCAGCTAAAAAAACTAGCCTAGAAAGATGCTGATAAAACTCGAAAAAGTAAACCGAGGTCATCAAAGGTCAATGAACTGACCTGACCTTCTGGTGACCTTGACATCCACCCTAATGCATGGGAGCAGCATCATATCCCATGTTTGAACGCTTGAAACCACGAAAGGACTGCAAACGCGCGGCAAATGCGAGCCGACATACGCCGAATCGCGATTCCGGCCAAACATGGTCTCGAAAAGTAGGTCACAGGTCAAAGGTCATTAGTCAGGGCCATTACATTTTTTAGGGTAGGTGTAAAATTGATTATAACTCGAGGGTACTGAAAGCTTCGTTGCGGTCGGCCGCTTTTTACGCGAGGTATTCGCGAAAAACCGAGGGGGAGTCCGTTCGACCCCCCCCCCCCTATACGGGGGAGGGTTAACAAGCCAAAACGTTGCTAATTTTTATTTTGATCTGACCTGTGACGTCAACGGTGATCTCGAGGTCAATAAAATTAGGTTTTGCTCGACAGTTTTTCCAGGGCTATCAGACGCCGTTTCAGTTTTGACAATCGGCCCAGTAGTTTCGGAGTTGGAGCGGGGGGGGGGTTCTATAAATAGCCCCCGCCTCCCCCAGTGGAGTGCGTTACAGAACATACCCCAGTGGGGCGCTGGTTAAGAGAGAATTTTTGAATTATTGCCAACACTCAACACTGCACCTCATGGCAATTAATTCATTATAGGGCATTTTACCTGAACCAGCCTCTGGCCTAATGTCCCAAATTTGCTAAATTCCTCACCCTACAAATCCCCTGTTCTATTAGATGCTGCCATTTTTTTTAAAACAACTTATCTTAAATCCTTGTTTCATCAAACTGGGAGCTAGGTCACGGGACACTGCGAGTCAAGGTGGGAGGGGTAGGAGATAGAGTGTCACTGCAGCACACACAATCAATCTTTCCATTGGTTTATCTTATATCAATGCCTGCTCTTTTCCAGAGCTGGCTTTCGAAGTTCGAACCTTCGGTATATGGCTACCAATGCCCTTGGAGAAGGTGTTGCGTGATAAATCGCTGGAAGGGCGACATTCAACGATTGTGTGAAAAGAGACCGATTGCATTGTGATGATAAAGTGAACTGTAATAATTGTTGTTCATGCGCGTTGTTTGGTTATGTGCAGACGTAACTTTGTTTGTGGCCAAATGCTTTTTATGTGTGAAATATTTCATGTAGGTTACTAGGTAGATGCTTTGGAAAAGTGAAGAGCTGCTTTGTCGACTGCTAGGTAGATACTGTCATGCATGCTGTTGTGCATCAGTAAGTGGCTGTCGTAATGATAAACAAATTTGGCATGGATAGGCTAAAGCACAGCATATGAAGCATGCTGGTTGATGACTAGTAAGATCCTGTTAACCGACTGGTAATATCACAATAAATGTCACATAGTAAACTATTGTTTTACGATGGTTGGCCAGCAAAGCAAAGCTGGTATCCAGATGACAAAAGGATGGTTTTACCATGATAAGTCATTAGTAAGCATTACCAGGGAGTAGCTAACGATAGTAAAGTCCTAGTTTCGTGCTAGTATCACGTGGGTTTTTGGGCATGGTATGACGACATATAGTTACCGTGTTAATACCATGGTAATTTTTACTGGCATTGGTATTCACATGGTTTTACATTCATATTAGGCCTAGTATTTGGGTCGTAAGTTAGTTTACCATAGGTAAGAGGCTGTTCAAAATATGACCACCACTCGAAAACTAACTAGGGTGGTATTTTTCTTAGTAGGCGGTACCAGGATAATACTAGCGTTAGTAGAGCTTTGGTTTCTTATTAGTTATGCTTTAGTTTCAAGGTAGTATGATGAAAAAATATTACCGTACTAAGACCATGGTATTTTGATGAGCATTGGTAGTTGCATAGTATTCCTTTGATATTGGGCCTAGTATTTGGATCGTAAACTGGTTTACCATAAGTAAAAGGCTGTTCAAAATATGACCACCACCCAAAAACTAACTAGGGTGGTATTTTTTTCTTTCAGTGTACACACCCGCTATCACCCGCGCTGAGCACAACCGTCCTCAACTCCACTGCACGCTCAAACTCCACTGGCGCTCTCAAACCCTTTGAAAATTGGCGCGCTTTCGGCCCAGGACTGCAGTATGCTGATTGGGTGGCAGTTGCGAATCACCTGGCTCAAACGCACTTGCGCCGCGACTGGTTATAGCTGCCCATACCGCGCGTCAAAACAAGCTTATAGCTGCCTGTTATGTCGTCGCACCGCCCACACGCACTCAGCGAAGACGGCACCGCGTTTGGTTCTGTATTTGTGGTCAGCAACACGTCCAGGGAGCGACTGCCCGTCCTCCCCGCCCGCCCGGCCGGCCAGTCCCGGCCCGCCGACCGGTCACCGCCGGAGGCGCCGAGCGGCACAGGTACGGTATCTGACAGTAGCGGCAGAGACTGTACACTAGGGTATATTAGAAGAATTCAAGGGAGGTATTTAAAGAATGAGGGTATAATTTGGGTATGTTCGAAGAAAATGATCAGGGTGTTGTTTTAGACCAAAACCCCTGATATGCTTAAAAGGAATCATTTGAGGAATCATTTGAGTATCTTAAGGGCATTCCGCCGGGAAAACGGCAGAGTTATAGGAGCATGACACACCATGATCAAAGGGAATAGAGAATCGTTTTGGTTGTCAGTGTACGTGGCCCAAAAGCCGAGTTAGAAGGGGGGATGTTTAAACAGAAACACCCTCCCCCCCCCTTCCGGCCCGGCGCCGTTGCCGCCGAGCACTGGCCCGGCGCGGGCTATAGAGTGAGCGACTGCAGCCAGTAGCCCTTACGCCTGTGTGCTCAGCGTCGTCTCTGCCAGGGAGCACCGTTTCCGGTCAAGGGGGCTGATAAAAATCATCATGTTTCCGGGACAGATCTGCACGTCCCTTCGGAGGCCTCGGGCCACTCTCGCGAGTGGCACTGGTAACTCGACCGGCCGACCGTTCGGCTGTGCCGCTGCTGTAGGGCGTTCCGCGGGACCATGGGGTCTACTCTTCGACCCCCACTGGCCGTGATTCTGCCATTAGCTGTGGCTGCTCTAGCAGGCGGCGCCGATTCCGCCGTCTGGTACGAGGATCGAATTAGCAACGGGTGTCGGTTTGAGCCGACCGTCGGCCATGCCGCCACCATGGCTTGTGACTACGACGGTATCAACTACATCGAGGTGAGTGAGGCACGCGGACAATACCTTACCTAAGTTGGGACTATTTGATACGGCCTGCAGCGATCTAGGAAAATCGATATAAAATGGAAAAAAAACATTCGATATATTTGTAGCTTTTGTGCGCGTTGGTATCCTAGAATTGAGCGGCAAATGTTTTTGGATAATCTTTTTAAAATATTCGTAGTATTTAAATGAATTTAACTTTAATCGTGAAATAAAGGAAAGCTCACATTTGCTGTAGCTCAAAAAGGCTCCCTACTTATAACTAGAAACAATGAAAGTTTTCGATAACTTCCCCACCATTTTACTTCGCCTTTTGGGGCGACTAACGGAGCGAGCGAGAGGGTGGGCCTTGCACGTGCGAAATTGCGAGGGGGTACCTCTAACTAACTTGTGCACGGCACCCTACTAACTGGTCTCTAGCGATGTGCCAAATTTGGGCACAATCGGCCCAGCCGTTCTCGAGATCTGGAGCAAAATTGGTCGCAACTGACTTGCGCACGGCACCCTACTAACCGGTCCCTAACTGTGTACCAAATTTGAGCGCAATCAGTCGAGCCGTTCTCGAGATCTGGAAACGACCCCTGCACGTGCGCACGTGCAGCAGCACCCCAACTCTGGCACATGGATAAGCAGTGCCTAGTGGGTGCCTACCTACATGCCAACTTTCAGCGCAATCGGCCAAGTAGTTACCGAGATATTGCAACAATTACAAAACTGACACCTCTTCATTTTGCACGTGGCACGTGCATAAGGGGTCACCCATGCATGCATCAGGAATAGTCCAATACTTGGTAGAAGGAATGAAGCTACCCTACAAAAATTACTGCGTGTAAATCGGTCAAGTGGTTGCTGAGATATAAGCCTCGCAAAAGCGTCCGCACGGCCGGCCGGCCGGCCGGCCGGCCGCTCATACCCAGAAATTTCCGTTAATCTAAGGAAAGACATACATACGCTCGCTTCGCTCGCTCCGTAATCATGTTACCCAACAGTAAAACGCCTTTTGGGGCGACAAATGTAGCGAACGAGAGGGTGAGCCTTGCACGTGCCGAAGTGCCAGAGGATAGGTATGTACTTCCCGCTGGCTTGTGCAAGACACCCTACTAACCGGTTACCCCTTATGGGTGACCCCTTATGCACGTGCCTCGTGCAAAACTAAGGTGTCAGTTTTGCAACAACTGCAATATCTCGGTAACTACTGTGCCGATTGCACTGGAACTTGCATGTCGGTAGAGAGCCACTAGGCAATGCATTTCCATGTGTCACGGTTGGGGTGCTGCTGCATGTGCGCACGTGCAGGGGTCGTTTCTAGATCTCAAGAACCGCTGAACCGATTGCGCTCAAATTTGGTACACGGTTAGGAACCGGTAAGTGGGGTGCCGTATACAAAAGTCAGTTGGGACCCAGTTTGCCCGTGCGCACGTGCAAGGTGCCGCTTCCAGATCTCGAGAACGGCTGAGCCCAGTGGCGCGGGAACTACTTTCGAACTGGGGGGGGGGGGGGCACACCTGATACTTCCCGGTAATCTAGTTTTCTCACCCGATTTGGGCCACTTATTTTCACTCTTTGGCCTTTTCAACGAAAAGAACAAAACGATGACTTTTCTAAAAAAAAAAGTGAGGTATTCCATCTCAGCTGTGTCAAGGAGCTATCTTTCTGATAGTCTGCAAGAAAGTTTTAAATCTGCCACTGCAAGTGCGCTGTCAAGCCAGGGAAAGATGGTGATTTTTTACGGAGCGAGCGAAGCGAGCGTAGTCTTTCCTTAGATTAACGGAAATTTCTGAGTATGAGCGGCCGGCCGGCCGGCCGGCCGGCCGTGGTCACGCTTTTGCGAGGCTTATATCTCAGCAACCACTTGACCGATTTACACGCGGTAATTTTTGTAGGGTAGCTTCATTCCTTCTACCAAGTATTGGACTATTCCCGATGCATGTGGGTGACCCCTTATGCACGTGCCACGTGCAAAACGAAGAGGTGTCACTTTTGTAATTGTTGCAATATCTCGGTAACTACTTGGCCGATTGCGCTGAAAGTTGGCATGTAGGTAGGCACCCACTAGGCACTGCATATACATGTGCCAGAGTTGGGGCGCTGCTGCACGTGCGCACGTGCAGGGGTCGTTTCCAGATCTCGAGAACGGCTCGACCGATTGCGCTCAAATTTGGTACACAGTTAGGGACCGGTTAGTAGGGTGCCGTGCACAAGTCAGTTGGGACCCATTTTGCACGTGCGCACGTGCAGGGTGCCGCTTCCAGATCTCGAGAACGGCTGGGCCGATTGTGCCCAAATTTGGCACATCGCTAGAGACCAGTTAGTAGGGTGCCGTGCACAAGTCAGTTGGAGGTACCCCCTCGCAATTTCGCACGTGCAACTTGCAAGGCCCACCCTCTCGCTCGCTCCGTTAGTCGCCCCAAAAGGCGTTATACTGGTTACTATAACGTTGTATTCTATTCAGTTTTGCTTTGTGACCCAATTTCACTTGGGGAGAACAAGCTGCCCCCACGTTTCCTGGCCCTATGAAATGTTGTGTGGGAAGCGCCCCCACGGCCCCAGAGTTGTTGGGGCAGGCTGTCCCCACTGCCCCCCCCCCCCCGGTTCCCGTGCCTAATGACTGAGCCGACAGCGCCCAAATTTGGCACACGCCGTAGACCCGTTAGTAGGGTGCTGTGCACAAGTTAGTTGGAAGTGCCCTCTCACACTTTGGCATGTTAACGGTGCAAGATGCAACTGAGTACCGACCCTCTCGCTCGCTCATTTGCTGCCTCGTAAGGCGTTTTACTGGTTCTTCGTTCTAGGTAAGAATTCGCTCGCTCCGCTCGCTCCGTAAGGTGCAGCTGATGGGAGTGATACGCTGTATCCGGCAAGACTTATCAGGATCTACCTGAAGCGCACCATACATTCGACTCATGTGCCTATAGTCTGGAAACATTTAAAGTTATTATAGGTACGGATTTACCTACCAAAACCACGTTGGCTCACCACTAACCAGCCACTCTTTTTCTGGAGGGCCGTAAATGGAGAGTATTGCAACACCTCCCCATAAAGTGAATAAGTACTTACTTCACATCTTGAAATCCAAGGCCATATATATATATATATATATATATATATATATATATATATATATATATATATATTTGTAATCAGTACATGGCCTTGATCAGTTCAATCATGAATACAATGTAACACTTTACTGCGTTTCTTTCAGACCCAATTTCATGCTAGACAACTTCATGAGGCACCTTTGATCCAAGAAATTCGGATTTCAAATGCCAAGGGGATCAACATCAAGGAAGATGCTCTGACGGGGCGAAAACATCTCCGCGCATTTCACCTGAGTAGAATTGGCAGCCTCAGCATTGCTAAAACTGATTGGAGGGAGACAATGGAAACCGAAAACATGATCATAACAATGAATGATATAAACCGACTTGATCTGGGCCGTGATGCTTTCTCAGGATTGCAGAGTCCTGGTCCAAGAATAATCATCAAAGGAGTGAACAGCTGTACCATTGCTGCCTCTGCGTTTCCCGCCAATTCTGTCATCAAAGGTGTGACTTTTCAAAACGTTCGGAACTTGGTCATAGAGGGAGGTGCGATGCAGTCTCAAATAACGGGTGGTCAGTATGAAACTGGACAAAGTTTGAATTGTTACTGTGTCGAAAGTTTTCAAGCGAAAGTAACGAAAATCGCGTTACCGTGCCATTATTTTGTTGTAATCACGCTCGGCCTAATGGATCAGCGACACTGGACCTCTGGCAGCCTCCAGGCGCACGCGCGCTGGCAGCCTCGCCATTGTCTTTCGCGGCACCTCCGGGTCGATTTGACGGATGGCCTGCTGGATTCTCTGCTTCAATTGTGCGTCACAGCTGACCTGCCACCTTCCTTTATGCAATTTCTGTTTGATGAGCCCCCACAGATCCTCAATGGGCTAAATCTGAGGGGTACGTGGCGGGTCCATGTCACGTGCTATTTCGGGCACCCAGCCTCCTCAAGAAGTTTTGTGTTCTAGTGCGCGTACCGTGACTGTTGCAAGGTCAGAACCTAACAGAGCATCATGCTCTGTGTTCTGAGACTCAATAAGTGGCAACAACACGCCATTCAAACACTTTCCATAGCAAAGTTCGCCCGTTACATTGCCTGTGCTCGGCAAGTAACTGAACGCGCGAGCCCCTCGGACTCATGGCAAGCCAGACGGGCATCTCGGGTGGATAACTTGCTCCCAGGTCGAAGGCGAAGGTGAGATCCACATGTGGAATATTGTCTCCACCAGCTGAGGTGTAAAATTCGACAACGGAAGGCATTTTGCTGCCACTGCAGGTGAACTCAGATTTATCGTTCATATGCACCTCCATGTTTTTGCTACCCTGTGTTGGACCCTGTGACAGACGGCGCAGGCGGTTTTGCTGTGTACGAAATTGTGCCTCCGTCATCTTTATTCTATTTCTGTACCTAATTTCTGCTTGTGGACATATTAATTGGTCATACGTTTTGAAAATTCCAAAATTTCTTCCCAGAGATCACTAGGAGAGCCCCAACTGTTCGGTGACGGCGCCGGTTTGTTTCTTCCGGAGCTGAATGGGCATTTTCTTGGTGATCTTGCCATGCCCACCATGCAAAACATCTGCAAGTCCTCAGAACTTATCGATGATCACATATTCTTAAGATCTGGTGAGATCCCATGGCGTAATGTGACGCATAATGGTAGCGTTTTTGTAATTTGTGTTATTTTCAAAAACTTGCGCGAACAGGTCCCGCAACGCTTGCTGACTTACGCGCGCAATGTTTTCTACTAGTTAATAGCTGAAAGTTGAAATCTGAGCTGTTAATATAAAATAACTGGAAGTATTCACCTGCCAAAAATAATTAAAATCTGTCCATTATTGGAGATTCTATGCTTAATCAAATTTTGTCCAGTTTCATACTGACCACCCGTTACATCTGATTAATATATCCGACACAGCAATGCTTGAGGGATGCTTGAGCAGCTCTTTCAACGGACGCAAGGGTAGCCTCATCCTGAACAGGGTGACGATCGTCCCGACCATCCGCAGTGGCTGCCTCCAGGCTGATGACGGCTGGGGGAACCTCACTGTGCTGTCCAGTCAACTAGGAGACATCGAGCCCCTCGGCATCAGCGGCACGTTCGACCACTTCCAGATCCGGAACAGCAGCGTGGGGCGAGTTGGCCAGAGCGGGCTGAACCTCAGCGCGACCTCATTCACCATCTACTCCACTGAGGTCAGGGAGCTGTCGTCGCACGCGTTGGACGTGCGCTTCAACCGATCAGCGTTACTGCAAATGTCTTCGTTCATGTCGGTGCGCGCCAACGCTTTCGTCAGTCTTGCAGCCAATCCCCGAAGAGTAGCAACCCTTTCCTTCCAGCAAGTCATAGCTCACGAAGCGGAGTATGGCTCCCTGACCCTCGCTGAGTACGGACGGGTGTCCCAGCTCGACATTGCCCTCCGCATGCCGTGTAGCTGTCATCCCAACCGCCAGGCGCTCCGGCTGGTGGCAGGGGACGAAATGTCGAATGACGTCACCGACGACCAGCGAAGAGGAGCGCAGCAGGTCCTGGCCCAGGTTCGCTGCGCGGCTCGAGCACGCACGCCGACCCTGGCAGAGTTTGTCTGCTCGGAATGCGATGATCGTGGTGAAGTTGCGTCTCTTTGCCCGGCTGAAGAAGCCAGAGCTTCTGGTTGGAAAAGCTGGAAGCTGGCCCTCGTCATCGGGCTGCCATTACTGCTCGTGCCTTCAGCCATATTGCTGATTGTTCGAAAAGCGTGGCAGAGACACACTAGTCGACAAATTGGCATGGACCCGTCGCTAGCGCAGCTCCCACAGCAAGTCGCTTCTGATGTCAGCGACACTAAGGCTCCAAAACCGAAACCACGCCAGAACCAGAATGCTGGCGGAGACGTCGCATCACATCAGCGCGACCAGCTCCACGGCAGTGGTCATCGAGAGCAGCATCACGATCTCGACTCAGAACCGTACTACTCTGAGGTGAACGATCCTCCCGAGGATGTGCCCATGGCGGATCGGCCGCAAGGTCCCGCAGGTCAGCCAGCGCACGATAACTGTGGCCCCCGAAGTCAGCCAATGTATGACGACTGTGGGCCCACAGATCCGCTAGTGTTTTATGACCGTGGTGCCACAGTTAGGCCATCATACGAAAACTGTGGTCTTGCAGGTCAGCGACGTTTTTGAGACTGATCCCCTTATCAACCAGTGTCAAAAGTCTTTGATTACGTGGTTCAATGGGTGGATGGTAAGGCAGTGTAGTGTGCAAGGCAGTGTAGCCCGAACCAATCAGCTTATGATAGTGATCACCCGGATCACTTAAGCAGTGCATGGCCGCAAGTAAAGGATGCTACTTGCAGTTTGTGTGAACTTACAGTGTCAGTGATGAATAATGTTTGCTATATCTACTCGTAGGTGCTTCTCCAGATATCAAGACAATGATAGCCTTGCATTGTGTGAGCACGGGACCATGTATCTGCCTACTACAGCAAATAAATTGCACAGCTTTAGAAAGGAGATTATTTGCATCCTAGATTGACAAAGACCTTGCAAAGAACAATCGCATTCGTAGTTTTGGAATGGAATGCCGGTAAGGCCAGACGTCTAAAGCCTGAAACAGACTCTTTCCGCAGTCAGGAAATCGCATGCAAGAGCCTATTCAAATACATGGAAGCACGCTCGCATCAATCGCACGCACCTCCCGCAAGCGATTGATGCGAGAAGAATTATAATGTATTTGAATAGGCTCTCGCATGCGATTTCCTGAACGCGGAAAGAGTCTGTTTCAGCCTTAAAGGAATGCGCAGAAGGAACACTGTGTCATGCTATGCTACGCTGCATGGTCATCTCTTCTCCCCACCAGGGCAACATCAAAATGGCATCGTGTCTGTGACACATGACAGAAACAGACCCAGCAGAGAGACGCAGATATATTGATAACACCAGTATGTCACGCTAAGCCGCAGAAATTAACGCGTGCACCTGCACAATACAGGGTCGGTGGTACTGTGAATTTTATTATATATAAATCGTAATTGATAGATGTAGGGGAAGGTGGGGTAAGACGGCCCAGCGGGGCAAGACGGACCACCAGCCCTCCCGGCTGAACCGCTGCTGGTATCTACTGCTTTATGCACTCACTATGTTTGTTTTCCTTCGTAACAATGGCCACCTTGAGCTCATGCTGCTAGGATGCATAGCTTTTGAGTTATTGAGGAAAATGTTGTTTTTCGTCAAACCGATCTAATATAAGAGGTCTACGGGTGATTCAATTACGGCGCCTTTCTTGCATAATTAGTTTCTATTTTGCACTTAACTGTGAAGAACAAAGTTATAAACTTAGTTATAGTCACACTTTAGGAAAGGCAAGGTTTTGCAATGTTGGGCTATTTGACATATACGTCATGATAATGACAGAATTTAGATTTGGGGCAATACGGACCACTGTGGTCCATCTAACTCTGTGGTGGTCCATTGTACCCTGCATATGGAAAGTTCTTTTCCAAAACATTGACACAAGTTTAAGTAAGCTAATTTTTCAGGAAGGAGTCTTTGTTGCATGTAAGCCATGCATGCAAGTGCTCAGTTAGCATGCATTCATGCCAAACGACAATCAACACACATGTTCCCAGCTTTTAGCTGCACTTCCATCACACATGAGTAAAGAATACCTAAAGGCTCATTTTGTTATTTTACCATTCTGGTTACTTTTTCTTACAAGAGTACAGAGCAGAAGTGTAACACACATGAACGGATAGCAGGCACTGCTGGGTGGTCCGTCTTACCCCACGTTTTTTCTTGTCTGAGTTTTTGACATGTCCCTCTTTAAGAGCATCCACTGCACCTAGATGTCTTTAATTTGAAATTTAGTCTTTACACATATCAACAGAGGAAGGATTGAGCATTCCGAAGACTATAAATAATATGAATTACGAGAGCAGTGTAGCAAGATATGCGGCCTCAAACCTTAGCTGGTCCGTCTTACCACACCTTCCCCTACAAATCATGAGCAGTGCGTAATGACTGCCAATACTTGTATGGAGATTTAATGTAGAAAATGCAAAATATCTGAAGTTGACCAGAGTTGATGTCATCAAAACGAACAATTCCTGCTATGTAGTGGAATTATACATCTTTTCACTGTTAGTTTATTATTCATTTTTAACCCGCGCACCGACGGGGTCTGCGCCAACTTAGAACCGACGGGGGGGGGGCGGATGACCGCCCCCCCTGAGATATCGAGAACGAAGCAAGATAGCGACAAGCGGTAAACGGCATAGGGTACGCACGGACAAGTTATACAATTTTTACGAGGGTCATTTTCAGGTCAGGTCAAAGATGACGTCACAGGGGTCAAAAAAGTCAATGGCGGCGCTAGATATGGAGATAAGTTTTCTCAAATAACTTTCGAATTGGTCAAGCTAGGATCAAACTAAGGACACCATCGTGATCCTCGCGTCAATCCGCATCGAACCATATATATGTTGACCTCGAAAGGTCAAGGTCAAAGGTTGGCCTCAGGTCACATGACCTCGAGGTCATCATGTATGTATATCATTCGATGCGCCTTGATGAGCTGAACACAATGAAACCATCCGCGCGGCTGTATCTTGTTCCTGTACGGAGTTATTGGCAAAAAAAAAACGTTGGTGATCTTTGATGACGTCACATGACCTTACAGCTGCCCAACAGCAAAACAGGCCTCAAGGTAGTGAAGGTTGATCGTATATGAGGTCATGTATGGTATATGGGGCCATTCCGAAGCGTTTTAGTGGAAACAACAGGGAGTTGATTTTTCCCCCATTGACTTATAATGGGGAGGTCGAGAAAGTGACCTGACCTTAGGTCATCGATATCAAAATTCCGAGATATACAAATTGTAGCTACCAATGACCTAATAACATCCTCCGACTTTCAAAGGACTCCGTCATCTACTGTAGCTCTGACACGGTGACAAAGTTGCAAAAAAGTGACTTGAGGCTGGGTCATTCAAAGTGACCTGGTGACCTGACCTTGAAAGTTAGGAGGTTCAAACTTGCACACCATGTGTAAAATTGATAAGAGAATAGTCTTACCAAATTTCGCGGCGCTACGCGCCGCGATTTTCCCGCTATTTGCGAAAAAACCTCAGGGGGGGGCGGATAACCGCCCCCCCGTCGGTGCGCGGGTTAAGTGACGACCGTAAACATCTATACACGAAATGTTTTAGATGGTAGTTTGTTTCTTGTGCCTACATATTCTTGTATCTTGTGTCACTCGTGTTTTACTACAAGTGCGACCATAAAAACTTACTAAGTTATAACAGTCCTGCGCTGCTGTTACTAGATTATAGTCGTTTTCACGACAGAATAGCGGGTACCTAAAAGATACATGTTTGGTTCGTTGATACCACAGGAATTTTAGTAGTTCTTTAACCCTCGACGGCCGAGTGGGGGGGCGGGTGCCGCCCCCCCCCCCCATAGGGTTTTTTTCGCAATAGCTCCGAACACGCTGGAGATAGAGAGCTGAAACTTGGCATACCTGACCTTTGATTCCAGCTGGATCTTTTGACACCAATCGCATTTTTGGGTCAGGTCAGGTCACTGACCTATGACGTCATAAGTGAACCTCTGCACGGTCTTCAGATGACGCAACTTCGCAACGCCCTCACTGCCAGAGGAGATGTCACAGGGAAATGAAACTTGCAGGATCTAGTATCCATTATGAGTCCCACAACTTGTATATCTCGGATTTTTCCTAAAGGTCATATGAGGTCAGGTCATTTTCGTGACCTCACCATTTTAAGTCAATGGGGAAAAATGAAAACTGCTATTCTGGCGCCGGGAACGATCTCCAACTATCTCAAGCACACATAATCGTGATTTGATGCATTCCTTGCAAGGTTAGATGCGTCACTTTTGCAATGTTGACCTTGCGTGACGTCATTTATGACGTCATCAAGGTCATATTAGTTTGTCGTCAATAACTCTTGATCAAATTGAGCTAGCGAGTCGGGAAAGCCACCAATGGACTCAGGAAGGCCTGCCGAATCGAATGCTATGCGACATGACCTCTTTCGACCAACTTCGTGACCTGGGGGTGCTGACCTGACCTTGACCTGAGGTCAGCACCCCAAATTGACCTGACCCGGACAAAAACTATATCATTCGACGCGCCTGAGCGAGGCGAACACGATGCTGCCAAAATCGGCGCTCTGCGGCCGTTTTTTGCGAAGTTATTCACCAAAAACTGAACCGTACCTTGGGGCACTTGACCTGACCTCAGAGGTCACCGATTGACCCAGGACCTTAAAATCGGGTACCAAGCTCTGCGTTTCGTAACGGCGCACACGCTCGCTTTTTCCGCGACGCGCTAGCTCCACCAGGGGCGAAACGGCGAGGGGGGGTCGTACCCGCCCCCCCCCCCCCCTCGGCCGGCGCGTATGTAGAAAACCAATAGGTCCGGCGAGGGTTAAAGTAGGTTTTCCACCTTTCGAATAAGTGGCCCGTTACTTTGCTGTTTTTCTACTTAATATTACATTAAAGGGACTATCCCACCTTCAAAAAAGTCCCGTTTAGGATTCGGAAATGTTACTCATGATATTGTGATGAATTCTGCAAGTTTTTACGCGTTTTCATCGTATACTTTTTGAGATATTGCGACTTTTATATTTCATTGTGACGTCATTTAGATCGGATCTGTGACGTAATGAAGGATTTACTTCATGTCAGTGTGGGGGAAATTTGGCAGCAAATATAGGTATTTGCTCTCAAATATGACTCGGCTCATACAATAACAAAAGTGTCTCTGATTGGCTTATTCGTAAATCAAGTGATACTTCACTTGAACAGGCGTTCAAAAGGCAAATGACGTCATCAGATTACCGTTAATGGTTAAGAGATTGGGCCTTGCGCAGGGCTCATTTTCAAATGAAGGGAACGAATTTCTTCAACACCACGAGGCCGCGGGGGTTGCAACCAAGATAGATAGTGGTTGCTGGACCTCGCCGCAAACTTGGCTATCTCAACTCAAACCTAATGTAAAGGTGGGATAGTCCCTTTCATTTATTCTAGCTAAGGGTTTACCACTCACGTAAAGCTAAAGCGTAAGCACGTTTACGAAATTCTCAAATCAATATAATATAGTACCTACAATGATTAGGAAAATATACTGAGCTGCCAGCTGCCGGTGACCGAGCTCTCCCAATTCCACGCTGGCTTGGCTTGGGAGCCGCAGCAGACGGCGGAAGTTAATATCATTGCTAAGGCGGCGGCGGATTTGATGCGCCCGGGCACCACCATGGCTGACCGAGCTCTCCCAATTCAACGCTGGCTTTGCTTTGAAACCGCAGCAGACGGCGGAGGTCAAGGTCACTGCTAAGGCGGCGGCGGATTTGTTGCACCCAGGCAGCAACAGGGCGCGCGCATCGTGGGGCCGCTGAAACAGAAGCCGGGCCTCTAGTTGCCAGGCTGATTTGATCCCTCACAGTCGAAAGGTGGGATACTATATAGTATATAGACCCGAAAATTGATTT